GAATATTTCGGGTCCCCTGTCAACGGACTTGCCAGAGGAAGACTTGGACCTAAATGAGATTCCAGCAGCAGATGATTCTTAACTGATTTGAATTACCTCCCCGTTTCTCTGTTCTATTTTCATTCATTATATGATATAATCCCTAAAATTGGTTAGGGCTTATAATGAGCTATCTTTCTTTTGTTTTTCTTTCCCTCCCTGTCCCCGGAAACATGCAAGAACATGCTGAAGTATCTGTATCTGCTGACATTCTCTTGTTTATCCTGTATAAAGTCACACATATTGCGGATGACATCTCAAATCTGAGAGTGTAAACTCATATAAATAACCTTATTACTAGATGATCAACCTGAGAAGATTTAAAAAACAATGGGTAAAAGCATAATTTTCAAAGAATTTTAATTAAATATTCTATATATCGGCTGTGTTCATCCGAACCTTCACCATTGCCTCACCTTCATCTGTAAATGGGAGATTTGATCAGCCACAGGCGAGCTGCCTCGCCAACGAGTCGAGGTAGATAAAGGTGGAAAGAAAGATAGTTTTATACTTTGAATCCACTATTTTGCAATCTAACTGTAAAACAAATCATTAAATGAAAGAATCCTTACCACCAAAGAACTCCTTATCATCCGCTAGTCTATGTTTTGCAATTTGCAAAATACATTTTTGGGCTACATCAAACGGGCATTATCCACTTCCTGAAACAAAGTTCACTGGATATTCAAAATCTGTGAACTCGGTCCGTTAATCGCTCTTTTACATAAATCTAAATTCTTTTCTTCCACGATATGATTTTTCCTTCTTTTTTTTTTTTAATCTTTTGGCAGTAACCGTAATACATTTTTTTTATACCGACCAAAAAAAGAAAAAAAAAAAAAAACTAAAGTCAACAAACGTAGTGAAGTTATTATTCTTTGATGCGGTGCGTAATTATAAATTAAAACCAAAAAGTAGATGGTATGAATAGAAACCTTATTCTGTTCTTGTCAATTTGCTCGAGGTTATACAATACAGGAATAGGTTCTTGTGAGTTGGACGAAGTCTACACAAAAAGAACACCTTTGATGAAATACCCACTTTTGAGAGGCTCTGCATGGGTAAATTGCATCAATCGATAAACAAAGCAGATTCCTGCGCGTAAAAGATTCACAAAGTAGATAAACACCGCATATATCCACAATATTTACATGTGAACTTCATGCGTATGTTGCGAACATTTATATCTGTACACTGCTCTACCATGCCCCTGGTCTGGATTAGTTGGGCTCTAGTCTCCAATGCAACCCTTATGTTCCTTCCCCTTGCGAATTGGAGGTGCGTACAGAATTGACATCAACTGTAATAGTGTCCGTGAGTAGCGTGGTTCTCAATTTTAGCAACGGACTACAACAATTCATATTAGTTGAATAAACCAGGTCCATCAGCTCAAATCAAAACCAGCATCTGCATTTATAGCATACAGCAGTTTTGTTTCCAGTTGCTCTTTGCTGTTGCAGAAAACAGGTTGAGGAGTGAGTAATGTAGAGAAAAAAAATCCAGAAGCTTATTCAGTTTTCAGTTGTGGGAATCCCTCTCAAAGAGACAATAAAAGGAACATCCTTCTCTCTAAAACAGGTCCATGAGCTTATTATTCATTTTCTCTAAACTAAACTAAGCTTATGTGGGACAGGGACAAACCTTCTATACGGTGGGAGCTTCAGCAAGTTCATACAAGTAGCTGATGTGGGTAATCGATCCAAAGCTTCTTCAGTTGGAGTGCCAGCAGCCCTGGAAAGGAGTCCACAACACAATTTTCAGGTCATTGGGAAAGGAAAGCAGCAGAAAAACCAAGACGACCCAAAAAAATGTATCATGCATCTAACTTTCTCAGCCACTTGGCTAACTAACAGAAGTGCCTCCATTTTAGAGTACATTCTGCAAACTATTACCTTTGTATGCAAAATAAAGGTTCAAGATATTTGAACCCAAGCAGCGGACCTCGAGAGCACCCAGTCACAAACCTAGGGAAAAAAAAAAATTCTTCCCATTATAATCCTTTCTGATAACTTTATTTTTGAAGCTAAGAAAGCAGTACCCAAAGAATTTGGCAGCAAATAAATAAGGAACACACAAGGACACTAATGAAAGATTATTATTTAACTCACTTCAAAAATTTCTTCTTATTTTCCAGGGAAAAGCTTTTAAGGACTTCCCAAAACATATCAATGACATAGTGCTCCTGCACAGATAAATGGTATAAAAATTAGCTCTCACAGCAAATGAAAATAAATGGCAGTTAATAACAATGTAGTATGAAATTTGTAAAATAAAATTTTGAACCATATATCCCGCTTCAACTAATACAACTGAAACACGTAGTTTACATGATAGCCCCTTTCATCCAGAACTTGAACCAAAAAGAGCATGGAAAGGATGAAGAGGATGGAGAGAGAAAACAACTTACACTATGATAGCCACCCCCATAATTGGTGTTCACTCGAAGGTCATCAACATCCAAGCTTTCAAGTGAACCTGATATCAGAAGCTGCAAACAGAACAGATTTGTCAAATATACTATTAAAGCCCAAAATGACAATAAATGACAGTTGCATGTTTTCAGCATAAAACTTTAGTTCACAATACATAGTTATTTAAAGCTTCATTAGCTTTTAGCTTCTTTTAGCAACGCTGACTTATTTTTCAGTCAAACTGCCTGATTGTAATATAAGAAGACTTTAAGCACCACAGTAGGTTAGACAAGTATTGGCCACAAAGCAAACATGACCTCCAAAGATTAAACATAGACCATCATACCTGCAATTCATGCTCATTAAACATAACAATCCAATCTTTCTGCATGAGCTGCTGAAATCCCCTGAGGAAATAAGAACTCTGTTGTCGTATCTGAAATTGATATCATTTATTATGTCATGATCATATAGGGGAGAAACAGCAAGTGGCATGACTTGAATGAATCAAACCTCAGAAGTTTAAAGATTAGATTACCTGAAAATTCAAACGGTGGTTAGATACAAGATGAATAAATGTAATAACATTATCATTAGTAACACGTAGGTTTCTCCCTCCTGGAAGCAGCTCCTCTTCTGTTTGCTCTCCATACTCATTATTCACAATTACAAAGTAGAGCTCCAAGTCAGATATGTCCCCTTTATAATGCTGTAAATCGAAGCAATGTTGAACCATAAAAAATAAATTCCAAAAAGAGTATCATACAAATCAAGTACAGCTAAGCACCATGTATAAATCAAAAGGTAAAGGGAGAAAGGAATGATAAAAATTACCTTCAAAAAGATAAGGTGGCGATATAACTCTGGATCCAAGGAAGGCAAGTCGTTCAAATAGTTGTATCTAATCAATGAAAGGGAACAAGTATGCGTATATCAATGTTAAAAACTGCAGCATACACGATATGGAATAAATAGAGCTGGCAAAAGTATCATGAAAGCAATTCCTATCTAATCTAAGATTTAAGAAGCAACAATCATAGGGTACAAAGTCATCCTTACTTTTGTTTCAATTTACTCAAGAAGAATGTAGCAAATGGTATATCAACAAGAATCCCTTCGAACATGGCCTGCAGAGCAGACAACATGAAATCCAATCAGTAAGCCATGGAATAAATAAAATTGAGGTAGTATCCAGGACAAGTAGACAGCAATAATAGATAGCCCTAGACTAATAGCAACTAAAATAAAGTGACTAAGTAACAACATGACATGTAAACTATGATATGCCAGCAGCTCACCCAAAAAAATGAGCATATAAGGAATATCTTATCAAATCTGAGAATTAATTATTAGCTTAATCGCTAAAATTTAAAAATCAAAACTGAAACTAAAATAAAAATCAATAATAATGGTATCTCAAATTAGCATATCCTGCACTTTTCCACAGCCCTATTATTTTGCAAGATAAATACTAGAACATATCCGTAACCATAAATAAATCAGCAAATAAATGAATAATCAAATAAACATGCAATTTAGCTTGACATTAACAAGACAATAAATTTTTGGGCAAAAGAACACATACAACAAAGTATTTGAAAGCATAAGTTATGATGTATTTTGAGGAGAACCATCAGGGAAAAAAAAGGGTAATTCCCCTTTTATATAAATTATAAAATTCTTCATTATGAACTACAAATCATAGATTATCTTCCCTGTGTGCGTCTCATAATAGAAATAAAATAATTTGTTAACTGTAACATGGTCAGTCCATATGTTTTTCTTAACATATATCAGGTATGATAATAGAAGGTTCAATGAACAACAAGCCTATTTACCTTACAGGAGAGTCATTGCAACAACCTAGACACCATACCTTTGCAAGAAGAGTTCCTAAGAAATGGAAAAAGTGGAGATGTTGTTCATGAATCATTCCAGATCCAGGATTTGGATAGAGAAGGTGATCAGATGTCTCCTGGAGTACAATGCAAAACGGAATTTCAATCAAATATAGATGAAGACCAGGTGCAAGTAACCAGCAACAATAAACATACAAGAGAAATTAACATATTAATCAATGCAAATCATAATAAGCAAGAGGGAGAGTTGAAAGTTTTTGGAAGGCATAGGGAAAATAAGTTATCATCGTGCAAACTCAGGCTAGTTACAAAAGACAACCTCTATCACAAGCTAAAGAATTCTATCCTCTTGTTTGAACCTTCACAGGGCACCTGACTTGTACTAGTGTATAATATAGCTTAACTTGAATTAGAATAATAAACAAGAAGAATGATGACGAGAGAGGCCAAAAGCCAAGCAGGTAATATCCCTTTAACCCATTGTAAAATTGCATTCATAAAAATAACAATCAAGTAAATGTGTATTGATCTCCTTTTCCAAACCTACTGGAACAGAAAGAATTTTGCCATCTTAATCCCCTAATTATTGCAAAGAGTATAAAATGTATTTTTGGCAGACACATGCATACCACCAATAAGAAAAAAGCTGTAGACAATAAGATATATTTATGACCTTAAACAACCCATACTGCACGTCAAATGCTGCCCGAGTGATATTCTCCATAAAATCTTTGAAAATTCCACCACCATCAATACCAGCCTCCTCAACTCCAAACTCGTTGACAAAACTTACTCGAATCTGTAAGGAAACCAAAAAGAAGAAGAAGAAGAAGAAGATTATCCCAAATACCAGACAAAAGAAAGCTGCCTTCATCAGGTGACAATATCAAGAAGGCAGACAATAGATTTTCAAATTTCTATTTAAAGAAAATGTTTTTGATCGGCAGCTATTAAAAGAAGATAAAGTAACAATTTGTAGAAAAGATAAGAGCACGCTACCAATCCTCGTAGATCCTCCTCAGACAATGCACTCATCTGACTATAGGCATCTTCTAAAATATGATCCCGGCGAATTCTAAACCGGTTTCTGGTAAAAACACCATGTGCACCATGCCGTTTCCTAACTGCTGCTAGTTGTGACTGGCAGATTCATTTATAGAAAACAGTTACAAGCAAGTGCAAAAAAATATCCACAAAGAATTCAAATAATTTTGGTTAGTTTTCTCAGCAAATAATTATCCTTAGTTTCTACATAACAGAGATAAAGACACTATAACAGTCATATCATCTAGAGTTGGTTGTATTCTTTTACAACCAATGCATTCCACCTGAAAATTTGAAAATTTTTATAAATTAATTACTTACAGTGAAGATTTTGACTCTACTAGTGAATGGAATTAAGAAAGGTGCTTGCTTCAATATGTCATGTGCTCTTGTGCCTTCTATGGCAGCCTGGAAAAGGACACTGATTTCAAAACAGGCAGCCAAAAAGAAAAAATATATATAATTCTGGGAATCCCAAGGTGCTCAAGAGAAGCTATTACCTGAGAAATAAAGTAGTCATTAACCCCATCGGCATGGAAATTAGTAGGGGAAATAAACTGGCGTCTGTTGTTCCAATCTTGCAACTATTAAAAAAATTTAGATAACAAAAAATCAGGAGAGCAATAAAGAGCATAAAATTTACCTGCATGTCACTATTTCCATCAAATGCAACACTAGATCATATTGAAGACTAACAAAGAAAGTTGAGATGTCAAAAATAACCAATCAAACAAGGCCTTAGATCTAACAATTTATATTGAGATCCAACAATTTATATTGGTATTTTACCTGTGTGAGGAGCTCGGAAGCTACAGTGCTAACCCTATTTTGAATAACTCCAACAGGTTGTGTCTTATGTAAAGATGTATTGGATGCAGATTTAGCTGAATTAGGTTGAGATGTAGGATTTACCCATAGAAGCTGCCACAAAGCCTATAAAAAAGTAAAAAAACAAAAGAAAGAGAAAGAGTTAAAAGTCTTGCTTTAAAGTTTAAAATTCTAAATTTAATATAGTGAAAATGCCAAACAAAGATTAGTGCCCTTATACATTGGATGTAACAGTATAAACAAACAGTTACCAACAATGCCATCATCTGTCAGAAAATATTCAAAAACATTTCTATACAAAAGAAAATACAACCAATATAAGTCTAGGAAAAAAAACTAGTGGTAGCTTCAAAACCTTTATTATTGGCATGCTAAACTGAAGATTCAGCAAAAACAACTTACCTGTCTCAGAATCACAATTAGACATTTAACATCATCTAGTAATAGTGGCTTCTCCAGCTCATAGAACTCTTCATTATCAACTATCGTAAGCATGTGCCTGGTAAACCAAAAAAATGTTCCATTATATCAACCTCATAGCTAATACCTTAGCGTCTAAAGGGGATAGAAAACCAAATTGGTTATATCAACCTCATTAAACTCCCTAGGATCAAAGGGGGACAGAAAAAGTACATGAATGATGAAGAAAGAATTATAACATGAGCTGCTTATGATAAAACAATCACATATCAAACAAACACCCTTACTTGTATACAGGGCAGAAAACAGCCAGAGGCAATAGCCATCCAGGTGCATCTCCAAACAAATATGAAAACTGTGCAGGCAAGGACAACCACTTTTGGTTCTGATGACACCGCTTCATAAAATTCCAAAGCACCGGAACAAGTTCAGTTCTATAAGCTAGTATAGTCATGATTCGCTCAAGGGGTAAAGTGTAGAAAGTGACATGAAGAAAAGCACAAGCAGCACCAACAGCTGCCAACTCTTTATCATCCAGTCCATCATTTTCTGAACTGTGGACAACAGAAATCCCTCCAAATAACACATTAGTCTGCACCAAAAGAGCAAAATTTAGAATTCCTGCTTGGATGTTAGAAAGGAAAAAGAATGCTTATAATTGGAAGGATAATCTACAAATTAACAATCTATCAATATGGTATACCAATTGCAGAAGAAAGCGTGAATCTATGGCATTGATTATCTGCTCTTTCAAATTGCTATCCAGAACTACTGTTGCTACTTCATCACCAGGAACGATATCATCCTCATCCAATGTGGAACCTGAAAATAACATTTTAATGCCTTTCCATCAAGCATTTCAAAGAAAACTATAGACGATATCAAAAAGTTTAACCCATACAAGTTCTAAAGGCAAATGTAATTTCATTATCAATAAATTTTGGTGAGAAGATAAACTCATTGGTACATTGAAAGAAGAAAGAGAAAAGATTGAAATTATAAAACAGGGCATACTCTCTCTGCTTTCTCCTTCTCCTTTGCTCCAGGATTTTATAGGAGGAAGAGCCTCCAACAAGAATGTTGCCACAGCTGCAAGGTCCACACCCTGGTCAAAATAAGTGCTTGTGTCAGTGAAACTCTACAGGTTCAAAATCTCAAATGCATATTTGTGTTTAGACATGCATATTCCCCATCAATTACTTCAAAGGTAAATTTTGCAAGTAAGCAAGGCATATAGAATGACCTATACTATAACCATAATTGCTACATTTGAAACAGAGTTAAAATGAGTAGTATAAGAACATAGGCAGTCTTTTTATTACATGAATCAGCTTCTTACCATTTCAAATGAGCAATCAGGCTGAGATAAAGCAAGAGCTGCTGTCTCTAAAATATTACCAAGAAGACAGGCATAACCAGGAAACACAGGCACTAAATCACTTGGCAGCACATTAGCATGATTTTGCACACATAATGCCATCTGATTAATATAGTGCTGACTCAGGCTCCGAGATGAGAAGACCTAGAAAGGAAAAAGATTAAAACATTATAATATGCTAATAAATAAATAAAGGAAAGGGATACTGCAAAAACTCAGTTCAAAAAAAAAATCTTCCAAAGCTAGCAAAAGAAATCAGTAAAACAAGCAAATTTTATAAGTAAATTAGTAGGATAAACAGAAAATACTGCAAAAGACAAGCTTCAAAGGTTTCAAGCACCTCATGGACCTCATCATTCCATGATGTAGGCTGAAAACCAACCTAAGCAGAACACTACACACATAATTATCATGTGAGTAAAGTATGGAAGAAATAAACCTCTTTCAAGCGTGGGAAAAGCTGCCATAAGAAAGGCACTGTGAGAATCTGGGATGAGAAACTCCATCGTGGATCAATATTTGGGCAGAAACATGGCTTTTCGCCAACATGAGATACTATAAGTATAAGAACATGTTCCAATAAAGACATTTTCCCCTGAGAACCATGAGCCAGAGTACTTTCCTGCACCACATAAAATAGGTGGTTTTAGAAAAGGGTTAAGAAGCAAATATCATCCTATTTAGTACTTACTAGATCAAAAGAGTGTTAAGAAGTGCATGCAGGAAAAGAATAGTTATCAAAGAAAAGAAAACCACAAGATGCATACCTTAACTGTAAGAACAATTTCTCTGAACAGAGTGAATACATGTCTTTGAACAAGATAACCAACAACCTTACAAGCCCATGGAAGTTTAGGATCTATCAACAATAGAACTGCTTGAAGCAAGATAGTTGTTGATAAGCTAGACTCTTCAGGAGTCACAAATAGTTGATCCTTCAACTTATTTCTGTCCAATGAAGAGATAAGATCACCATCAACTCAAATAAAGAAGAGAGACAGATCAATCTGAACATAATTCAAAACAGATTCTAGTAGCTATTCATACAAGTAGACAATATATTCAACAGTAACCCTCAATGTTATAAAAGTTAATATAGTCAATTTCCCTTATATTATTGAATTATTTGAGAACACCGTGAAATTGCTAACCCTCATTCTTTCTTCTCTGTTCTTCCTTCCTCAGGTGTGAAAGAACTACCAAGCTACCTTTCAGATAAGACAGCACTCAACCTGCCTTTTCTTCCCAAATTGCAGCTGAATTACTATCATTTACCCACAAAAACAAAATCGTAAATCATCCGCAAACTTCCAACCAAATCCTACCAATTATACACCCAGTGCATTAACTGTGGCCCTAATATTTTGCTTCCAGAATTTCCAGCTACATTAAGTCGACCCCTACTTCATGATCTAATTCCAATTAAAATCCAGATATCTCAATTTCCATCAAACAACAAAACCTAGAATCTTGTTCAATTATCATAAAATTCATGCATTCATTGTTTTCCTCCATTTTATTTCCCTTTTTAGGTCCGTATTGCTGAAAGAACACATGTAAAAGCTACTTCAAACAGAGGAAAGATAGGTGGTCCATCATGTGCTGTAAAACAGATGAAAGGGAAAAAAGTGTAAAATAATATAACTACCCCTACTTGACATAATAAGGTAGGGATGCACAAACCTGTTCCAATATATAGCCTGCAAACAAGCAAATGCCAACTGTTTCACTCTATATTCAACTAAAGTGTGATTCAATGAATAGTCAATGCCAGCAAAGAGGCTCACAACATCCCCTGTTGTATATAATATGATAAGTCATTATAATGAGTAAGGAACAAAATTTTCAGCTGAAAGTAAAGGAAAATGAGAAAAATAATAAAAATCATGGATTAAAATGAAAGTAACTTCATATATGAGAATTTTAGAATTGGTTACCACCAACAACACTTCATAAAATCAAGTAATCACTCTCATTAAAAGACACAAATCCAACAGCTTAAGAGAAAAATAGAACTTTCATGATATGCTACCCTGTTAAACAAGACAAATTTAAAAATATCCTTATATTGTTGAGTGATTCCTCCCTGATTAATTAAGGTTACAATTCTACAGGTAAAACACCTCAGTGACAATGTGGAATGTATAAATTATAATTAGAATGCCAATTCAGTTGTTTCAATTAGAATTTTGCTTTCCATCAGCCCTTGAAAAAGTGTAAGAATAAACCAAAAAATCCATAAACAAGAAGTCCAAAAGGGGGAAAAAAAAAGGTCCCTATTTTATAAGTTTCTCTGACCCCAATGAAGTCCAAAAATAAATAAATTACTATGATTAGACACGCAAAAATACATATCACTAGACATTAATTTACTTAATCATAAGACAACTCTTTTGACAAGTACTAACGAAAAATACCACTATCTTGAACAAAATACAGAAGCAATCGGCATGTCTCAACAAGGACTGAAAAGTCATCAGCATTTTTTGCATTGAAAAAGAAACACAATTGCCTGAGGAACTCTGAGTCTGGGCCAAAACAATGCCTGCAATCAAGATAACATTTGATTAATTTTTCAGTCATTCAACTTCTAGCAGTTCATATGCTGTCAAAGAAAGATCTAAAATCTTACCAGTCCACATTTTGGCAGTGTTTCCCATAGGTTCCATGGAACTCCTCTCGCACTCTAAATCGTGCCGCTTCCACTTCCATTCTTCCTCTGAAGCATTTCTGTATCAAGTAAACAAATCAACACTTTGCAAAAATAAAAAGAAAACAATAAAAGGTTCTTAAATGCAACCAAATAGCACTCCCACTCGATGACATTCATAGATAATTTTAACGCACCAATTTCATCGCATTGCCAATACAGTTCCACTTAGAGTTTCTCACGCCGACACCAGGCATAGAATAAAATAAATAAATAAACAACAAAAAAATTCGAACTGGGAAAAGAGAAAACTTAACCTGAATTCTAATAGCAGCAGAGTTCTGCTGGCGAAACCAGAGGCGGCGATTACGCTCCAAGCGCGTCTGTTCTAGAAGCTTCTGTCTATCCCTCTCCTTGGAGCTCCTGCCTCCCAAATCTACTCTCTTGCGGGTCGTCGGATCACCGGTGAAGAACATTCTAGATTGATTCGAATAGAACCAACGATTTCAGAATCGATCAGAATTTCAAGGGTTTCTGAGTGGAAGAGATGACGGAAAAATCAAAAGAGAGGAACGATCGGTTACCTGACAGCTAGGAGGAAAGGAAGAAAAAGATGTGTGTTTGGATGGAGAGAAAATTGGGAAGAAAAAGAGGAAGAAAGCAGGAGTGCGAGAATTGCCTCGCGCTTCTTATTGTTTTTCACCTTTGACGGACCGTGAACGAATCTCTGGGAAGCGTTGACGTGTTATATGGTTCTTCGTTTCTCTTCGCTTCAATAAAGCCCAACTTTAGGGTGCTGCTTTCTTACTGGTCATTTTATTTGGAAAAACGATTTGTATTGAATTTATATTAAAATTTTGTTAAATTGTTAATAATTTTATATTTTGTAAGTAATTAATATAAAAGAATTAATAAAAAAAATAAAAAATAAAAAAAGGATATCTTGACATTAAAATTATCGAATATTCAATTACAATCATTATTTAATTGGATCCTACATGAATGATAATTATACCCTATTAAAATAATGGTTGCAATTACATGTTCTATCAATTTTAACATCCAAATGTCTTGATTTTTTACATGTTTTAAAAAAATTATCTCTTTTAATTTTTCCTTTTCAAAAAAAAAGGGGAAAAAAATTTAGTAATTAATTATTGTATTTGTAAAATTAAAAGTTAATATTTTTACTTTTATAGTCTTTTTATCATAGCATTAAAGTATGTAAATATATAAAAGATTAGTATTTATCTATTTTACTTTCTAAAGATTAAAAAAAGTTATTTTAAAATTATGTAATTTCAATAAAGTATTACAAAAAATGACAAAAAATACTTTAATTCATATTTTAAAACTAAGGTATTTTAATTTTTTTAATAAAAATTTATTGAAATGACGTAATTTTAAAATAATTTTTTTATAATTTTTAAGAGATAAACCAGATAGACTATCCTCAGTATATAAATAAAAGAATAGCTTAAGAGAAAAGTTTTCTAAACCAAATAAGCTTAAAATAAAACATTAAAATGTAAAAACCTCTTATTTTGGTTAAATATAAGTTATGAACTTATGAAGGCCCAATGAGGGATACTGAAAGGCCCCAGTGGCCCAATCAAGGATAAAAGGCTAGTTATAG